TCAAATCTTCCGTCTTCCATATGAAAAATACCCATATTTATGTTCTCTTCTGAACGTACGAGCCAATCACCCCGCTCGGGATATATGTACTGGCGATATATACATGAAAAAAAGTATATGCAATTCGGCTTGCATCCAGAGTAGTCCGAGGCCATAACAGAGAATGAAGAATTATTATCACCCAAAAATAGGGTTCTGTTACCCAAGTCCTTCACTACCGATTTTGAGGGCCTCTTCCCATCCCTCAAAACCTTAGAAACCCTAAACCTAGGAGCTTGTCGGTATATATCTCCGTAAGAGAAAACTACTAATAAGTCCCCTGCTGATTCCACCATATATGTCTTTGTGCCAAAAGAAGCATGTACATGTCGACGTAGTGGCCCTTGAACAACCACCCTTGTCTTTGCTTGCTTAGGGTTTTCAATGTCGAAAACCAAAACCCCATTATAGCACATGGCATAAAATCGTCCCTTATAACAAGTTATATCCAGTGGATGTTCCTCTAAAACCACACTTGTCCAATATTTATGTTCTCTTGGTTTGCAAAATGCCAAATGTTCATGGTCATAAAGAACCATGATTGCAAAATCTGATGTCCAAGAAGGGTTTGATGATAAGACAAATTTCTTTACCGTATGAAAATGTGACATGTTTGTTGGTGAAAGTCGTCCATCAGAATCTCTAAAATCAGGCAACTTTATTTGGGCACGATTGAAAGGATGCAACAGAGTAAATTTCAAACCTTCTAAAGTGATCAGCCATCCTGAACAATAACACAATAGTTTGCCCTCGGCTTCTGGCAGATTGACCTTCTGAACCTTATCTTTTGTGAAGCTGTAGAACTCACGGATGGCAGCTCCATCTTCCCCTGGGAGCATAAGGAATGGATGTGATAATCGACCAGTAAAGTTTTCCTTCGTAGCGACCGATCTCCATGGTTTGCAAACCGCACCAAAAGCAGCAAAATCCTCCATGAAAGCTATCCGGTTGGCGATGAAGATAACAAGTTCTTGAGGAAGATCAGACCAGTCAGCCCCCATCAGGGTTTTTCTTTTTCGGTTACAGGCCATCTTCAAAACTTACCAATTTCCCTCCACAACTCACTGTTTATTGAAAACGTGGTGTACTTACAAAGAGAAGGCTTAATGGAGCACTACGTGTAGAAGAGAGAAGAGAGGCTTGCAACGCAAGAGTTTGGCCGATTTATGTTTATATATGATGCTGCTGGCCGATTTATGTTTATCAAGAATTCTATAGTGAGGGCTTTATATATGCTGCTACGGTTGGGTTTTTCTTTTGGACACGGACTCGTGGTAGCAAAATTCTTTGGTGAAGTAGTCTTATAGGCCCATCCTCTCGTGTTCGGGTCAGAT